ACATGCGAGGGAATTATTTATTCGCGAGAAAGACGGAAAAAAGGCGGGGCGTGTATTTGCCTTACTGGCGATGGTCGCGACAGCACCTTGATAGACCGTGCACCTTATTTTCGGCGATATAAAAGGTGGCTGGGTGCAAGCGGCTCGGAGCCCTCGGTGCACAGAGACACGTCCAGTGTCGGTAGGATATATGCGCAAAATACATACACGCGTGAGTGTACGTACACGGATACGACGACGAGTAATAAAAGTCGGCACACTTTTCACGCTGACTTCCTTCCTCCTCCCTTTTGCACGGTCGCCTCCTTATAATTCTCGCGCCTTCGCAGAGATTCTTCTTATCTCCCTCGTTTCTCTATTTTTCTCTACTTTTCCTTCCTTCTAGCCTCTTCTCGCTCGTGCAACCTTCTTTGTACGCGGCCCACCCTCTTCACCTTTTTATACATGCACACGTCGTATCTTGTGTTGCTCTTCGCGTTGCACAATCCGTTCATTCACCCACGAGACCCAAACGCGCAATGTATACCATACGGAGGGAAAATGTGCTCGCTAATAATCGCGTATATAAATATTTGTACATACGTACCGAATATGTACATCTCTCTAAAAATATTGCGAGTAAATTGAAAATAAAAAATCAACATATCAAATTGTTTTTTAGAAAATATGTTCTTTTAATCTCGTGACACAGCGTGGAATTGATACATGCACAAAATTTAACAAAATTTCTTTTCAAGTATACAACATTTATTTTTTTCATTTGTCGTCATTGTAGTATGTTACATTCTTCATAAATATTAAAAATGATTAATTTATTTTTTAAAGATTTCTAATACTTATAAACATACTTACAAAAATACTTATAAACATTATTAAAAAAACACCAAAAATATTAATGAAATCTATTAAGTTCGAAAAGCTGCTGATTTGCAAGAAAATGAAATTAAAATCTCGAAGCTCCGAAATAATTGTTCGCTATAAATATCGATTAAGATCGATTATATCGCGATATCGTTATGAAGTTTTAATTTGGCATAATTAATTTTTATTTCGCGAGACTGGGTATTATTGATGTTGATATGAACATCAACATTTTTAATGACAACTGCTGAGATAAAATATTTTTTATTTATAGGATCGTATATCACAGAAGGGATCCGTTGCCGTTTTTTTCCATAAAAATAATCCTTCGAGAGATTTATTCGTCTTTTTAAATGCGTAAATGTACGTATATACGTCCTTTGCAAAAAAATGGCTGCATGGACTTACATAACAATTACACAGTGATAAACGATCTGTGCCAGAAATCAAAAATAACGAAATATTTGAAATTTTTTTTATATGCAAATTTTTTCCGAGATAAATATCTGTTCGTTGTACTTGCATTAAATACCGCACAATAAGTGAGAGTAATAAGGAACATAATTGGAATTTCAGAATTTTATATTTCAGAAAGTGCGGCCGGAGAAGAACACGTGGACTTTAGATAGAATTTCCGAAATTTCCAACGCATTTCACGCCCTTCGTGTCAACCATTTTATATGTGCGACATATTATACGCTGCAACGCGAGAGACGAGAGGAGAAAAGTGCGTATCCCATTTTATTGCACGATGTAGCGCCTAGGGCAATAAAGTCCATTGCACCGCTATTATTTCCAGGCGGGAGAAGTGAAAACGCGTTTCTCACATCGCGTTTTCGTAATCCTTTTTACTTCGGCGCGATTTAGAATTGCGACATTTTTCCGCGCTACTTTCTCTAGCTTAATAGATTTATGTAGATCGCAACACGCGCGGTGCGATTGGAACTCGCCAGATCGAATATTTCACCGAAACAAATACGTATAGGTGCATTATTTACTAAAATCGTAAACTGTTAATGGAAACGTACATTTCTGCCCCATGAAATCTGAACATTTAAAATTGTTCAGAAGACAAAGTATAATAGCGCTATAGCGCATCATAATAGTTCTTGTTTTCCCTTTAGTTCATCTGTTTAACTCGATGTCGCTGTTAATCCACCGAGATGAGGTACATCAATCCACTTTATTTCCACAGAATAAATATATTCGCACAAACCGGACACCCTTGATCCTCGTGGACAAGAATACAACAGTTAACATATTTGCAAAATTTCGATGCGCAATATACCTACATGCTGACGTTGTGTTTTTGATCAATTTCTCTATGGAAAACCCGCAATGATCGAGACAACATTTTTTTTTTTTTAAATCGACGACAGATACATCACGTACGCGCGCATGCTGCTGTCCATCTTTTGTCATTTAATTTTTATTTCACGATTTTATTTCGCTTCGCGATATGATATGTTTACTTGATCGGAAATTCTCGTTGATAGACGCGCATGACATAAACCGAGCTGATCCACAAAGTGCGCGCGCGGAAACGACGTACTACTTTTCGTCTGTCGCGAGCAGGCACAATGTGACGCACATAAAACGAGAGACGCACGAGTTTTGCATTTAATGCATACGCATACACACACACACACACACACACACACACACACACACACACACACACACACACACACACACACACACACACACTATACTATATATATATATATATATATATATATATATATATATATATATATAAAATAATATATATATATAAAATATATATATAAAAATATTATAAATTTAATTCATGATGAAAAAAGCTCATAATTTTGCATGAATTTACATAATTGTATATAATAAATGATAATTACTTTTCGCGACAATGTCTATTAATATAAATGTGATTTTAAGCTGTAAAGTGTGTGTCGTAACACACTTCTTTCATTAACGCTTGCTTTGAATAATTTTTATGATAACATTAATAAAGTAATAAACTCTGCTCTTTTGCATCTATTTATATGAATGAACCAGCACGTGGAGATGTACCGAGCAACTTTTGCAACTTATGCAACTCTTTTTTAATTAACCTATTACAGCATTAAGCATAAATACTTTCAAATACATTTTTTTATTCTGTAATCTAAATTTTAACAAGATTTTTCAAAGTTTTAACGTTTTAAATTTTGAAATTGTTCTATGATAAAATGTTTTGCATTCGTCTTATGATCTACGCATGCATCTAAATATCTGTAATTAAACGATATCACGATTTACCACATCATTCATTTGTTCGAAGAAATGTAGAACGCGCTAGTTTATGCGATCAGTTTCGATAATGCTAATAATGAGAACAATGGATGTATTCTTGCCTTTCAGACACGTTATTTCGACGAGTCTGTTAGTGAAATATGTTCTCTCCTATACCGTTATTATTTTTATATATCGTACAACGCGTGTATAATTAGTTGCAAAATTTATTATTTGATTCAGTTAAAAAAAAAAAACATACAAGAAGACTAAATGAATGTCGAGAGTTGCGTCTTGCGCATACGTCGTTCATTAATAGATACAGTTGTATTTCTCTTCTAAGATGACGATGAAAAGGGCGTTAACTTGCGCCTCTTAGCACAGAATGTATCTTCCTGGTTTCTCGCGACTTCTTGACCGTGCAAAGCAAATGCGACGGGTTTCTCGAGGATGCATTTGTGCATCGCGAATGTAAATTTCTCGCAAACACGGATACCTCGTAATGCGGTGGCACATTCTAGAGAAATCTACGTCGTGAAAGAATAATACGTCATGTGGGATATTTAATTGCCATTCGCGGTATATGCTATTATGTAAAACTTGCCAATCGAAGTGCAATTTTCTTATCTCTTGCGTAATATCTGATCCAAGTTATGTTACAATTTCATTAATTACATGGATATGTTGTATATACCACTAAATGAATATAGTCATCGGATTTTTTCGCATCTCACCAAGGTAACCCTGAGAACAGATAATCGCCTAACGCGTGTAAATATTCATGACTGAAAACTCGTCCGCTAATATTGCGTGTCACATTTAATTTGATCGGTGATTTGACACGATGAGATATTTATCGGAATCCATTTTCCCAGAGTGAATATTGCACGGGTTTTTCAACTGACAAATTAATCGTTATAAAAGTACGGATATTTGAGAAATGTTATATAAGGATGGAATGTGTCGTCAATAAACTCACGCACATAATAAAGATCCTTAAAGCCTTCCGAGAATAAATTGCTTCGAGATGGGTTTTACGAAATCGATCGTAATTAACAGTTTGTTGCTGAAATTTACGACGTGCCAGATCGTATCGAATAAATGAAATACCATAGAAATGTCAAAGTCCGAGTTTCCAATGAACTTCGGTTGCATCAGTGTGAGTTGGCACTAACACGAAATTAAACTGCAGATACTCACCGCAATAAGTCGATGAGTAAGTTATCTCATGTTGCAATTAAGATTCTTTTACATTATCAAATAAATTATTTTCCGGAGTATCATACATTTTATTAACTGATCTCTTGTACTTTTATTATATGATGTTGCATGCGATTAGAATATTTTAATAAATTTAACATTTTTGGCAATGTCAAAGATTCGGTAATGTTGAAATTGTAAGCAATGCAAAACGATAAAATTTTTTTGATATATATTTTAGATATTGTATAATAATAATAATAATATCACTACGTTAATAGAAAAATTTCTATTCATTAATATTATAATATAATATGTTGTAATATAAATAAAATTGAGTGGATTATTTGAATGTTTAAATAATAATTGAGAACGTTTATTAAATACTTTGTAAACGGTATCTTTATCGTCAAGAAAACGGAGTGTTAAAGTATATCCAAAATTAGAAACATGCAGATAAGTGTAGATACAATAAAATAATTGTTTGTTAATTTTTTAGTCTATTTTAGTTACTGCTATACTTACTTAATTATATTTTTATAATC